TTGTTCACTATTCGAAAATATTAAATCAGCCGTTATTAGAAAAACAAATGTTATTGCAAATCGTTATGAAAAATTTAAGTGTCGGATAAAAATAAAAAAATGAATTTCCTGAAAAATGAAGTTTGTTTCTTAAGTCTTTTGTTTTAACAAACAGTAGAAAATATTATCGTAATAAAAAAGGGTTAGATGAAAGCTAATTATTGCACATCTGACAACATGGACCTATACCGAAAATATCACCAATTTCCGGCAAATATATTTATTAGTATCCGAAAACCCGGAATGATGGATTGCGAGTATTTCTTCGGAATATCGAAAATAGGAAATACATTTATATGGGGGACTGAGGATTCATAATGATTATTTTGTGATAAGATTTACATGTGTCACTCTCATAGAAACCGAAATTTCAGATTAGAGGCACTACCTGACTTTGACCTGACTGACTTTTTCGAAACATGGACATATACTGAAAATTTTCCTGCAAACGCCACCCATTAAAAACCCTAAATGCAACATTTCAGCCAATCCTTATGACCTTAAAAATACCGACAATGAGGTCGTCATAAGGAGTCAAACCTACATATCCAATTTTCAATCCCTTCAGCTCGTCTATAGACTCCCCACGGCTTCTCTATAGAAACTCCCCTCGGCTCCTCTATAGAGAATGCCTCAGGTCATCTATAGAGACTCCCCCAGGTCGCCTATAGAGAATCCCCCAGGTCCTCTATAGAGAATCCCCCAGGTCCTCTATAGAGACTCCCCCAGGTCGTCTATAGAGACTTCCCTCAGGTCGTCTATAGAGATTCATTTCGGCGTGTCTATAGAGTCAATACGTCTATAGAGACCCCCCTCTGCACGTCAATTGAAACTCCATCAGCTCGTCCATAGAGACTCCCCTCAGCTCGTCTATAGAGACTCCCTTCAGCTTGTCTATAGAGACTCCCCTCAGCTTGTTTATATAGTCTCTCTTCAGCTAGTCTATAGAGAAACACTTTAATTTTTCTATACAGTCTTTCTTCACCTCGTCTATAAAGTCTCCTTTCGGTCTACGTATAAAAACTCCTTACGGCTCGTCTATAAAGTCTCCCTTCAGCTCGTCTATAGAGACACTTCTCAGCTTGCCTTTAGATACTCCCCTCTGTTCGTTTATAGAGACTTACTTCAGCTCATCTATAGATACTCCCCTCAGATCATCTATAGAGGCTCCCCTCAGCTCGTCTATAGAGACTGCCTTCAGCTCCTCAGCTCGTATATTGAGACACTTTTGCCTACAGACCTCTTATTCTTTTGACGTTGTTTCTATGGAGAGAACATGGACTTGTAGGTCTTTTTCTTTTAACACACCTGATGTTTAGAAAGAAAATATTTCAAAGGATTTGTTGAGTTTTTAATACCCTCCACCATAGTCTTGATCAGCATAAAATTCTATGACGATCTAAGCATGTCCGTCTGTCCGCCTGTCTGATGTAATCACTCTAGCGTCTAAACGAATTGAGATAGAAAGCCAACATTTTGCATAGAGTCGTCTTTTGTCTGCAGGCAGGTCAAGTTCGAAGATGGGCTATATCGGTCCACGTTTAGGCATACCTCCCATATAAGGGTACCCCCAAATTTTCAGTATTTTGGGGTTCTTGAGCGCGTTTTTCAACCAAATTCGCTGAAATTTGGTAAAATAGGTTCTTTTTGGATACCAAATTTCTCAACTAAAAATTATAAATATAGGTCCACTTTTTCTGGTAGCCCCCATGAAACGGATTTGGTCCAAAGAAACATGGGGTCTAGAAACATGGGGTCATTAGCCATAAGGCTAAGGTTATAATTATCCATTAAAAATTTCCGAAATTTGTATTATGTTTTACATAATCCGTTTTTAGAAATGTCGGTATAGATCCATTTTTTGGTATGTTCCCTATTTGTTCATTTCTAGTACCTGTCAGTATGTTCTAGTACCTGTCAGGTATCCAAAGTTCGGCCCGGCCGAACTTAACGCTTTTTCACTTGTTTTTTTAATAAAACATTCTTAATAGTCTGTTGATTTTTACTGTACAAAAAAAATACAGATCTGAGGATCTTATAATTTCGTATTTATTTTTATAGAAATCCTAAACAACACCCTCCCAAATGTATAATATTCTTTATATGGACTTATGACGTTTACAATTTACTCCTGACACTATTATCACCACCATCTCTAATTCGCTTAGAATCTCTCGCATTAACCACAACCATAAAAAATAAATAAAATAGCTATAATTTTGCACAGGTAAAACATTAATTTGAAATGAAAACCTTCTCAACAATAAATAAAAACAAAAATAAAGAAGAAACAAAAAAAGAAACAAAAGCAAATAACAAATGGAATATTCATAATAAAAATCAGTCATAGTACAAAAAGAGGCTGGCTGGCGGGATGGCTGACTGACACAAAAGAATATAAAAACCCAAACTATCAAATGTGGCTTTTTTTGTAAACAAACAGATGAAAAAATTAGGTTAATGTGCTTGTGGCACACGCTGTTTGCAGTCAGCCAGCAAGACATCCCCAAGTCCCTCATTTTTATCTAGGCAGTCACACAAAATAAAACAAAAAAACGAACCTTAGAGTTCCATCCAGCCATGCGCGCCTCTCCATTTCAAATGTAACGCAAATCACAGCTTAAAACGTGATGCCATGGATTTCATCTCAAGCACACAAACAGACAGACGGACAGCCAGACAGACTCACTGTGAACTCAATGGCGTTCGTGAAAGATCTACATAGAATAATTCTTGATGAAAGCCAGCACATTTTTGATATACAACTCATCATCTTTTTCAAGTCATTCTCCTCGTCTATTCAATTCAGTTTTGTCATGCCATGGCATGCTGTTAATATCCAGTTTTGGTTATTAACGTCGGTCCAAGATTAGCTAACATCTTGGAGATATTTATCTTTATGGGAATTATGCTTTTGTTCCGAATCAAAATGTAAAAATTATCCAAAATACCGAATGAGAGAACAAAAAATAAGGGGGAGGCCGGTAAACTTTGTCAATTCGCTATGCCATGTCATGCTTAAAAAGTACTTAGATCTGAATTAGATTTGAAAGGAAAGGAAAACAGATTTCGATTTATTTTGAATATTGACAGACATTGATGTTCCGAAATTTCAGGGCAGAACACAAATGTGGGAACTCTATGTGGGAACTCCCTGCTGCAATTCGTCTATAAAGACTTCCTTCAGCTCATCTGTAGAGATTCCCTTCAGCTCTTCTATAAAAACTGTCTTCGTCTCGTCTTTAAAGACTACCTTCAGCTCGTCTATAGAGACTCACTTCAGCTCGTCAATAGAGACTCACTTTAGCTCGTCAATAGAGACTCACTTCAGCTCGTCTATAGAGACTCACTTCAGCTCGTCTATAGAGACTCACTTCAGCTCGTCTATAGAGACTCACTTCAGCTCGTCTATAGAGACTCACTTCAGCTCGTCTATAGAGACTCACTTCAGCTCGTCTATAGAGGCTCACTTCAGCTCGTCAATAGAGACTCACTTCAGCTCGTCAATAGAGACTCACTTCAGCTCGTCAATAGAGACTCACTTCAGCTCGTCAATAGAGACTCACTTCAGCTCGTCTATAGAAACTCACTTCAGCTCGTCTATAGAGACTCACTTCAGCTCGTCTATAGAGGCTCACTTCAGCTCGTCAATAGAGACTCACTTCAGCTCGTCAATAGAGACTCACTTCAGCTCGTCTATAGAGACTCACTTCAGCTCGTCTATAGAGGCTCACTTCAGCTCGTCAATAGAGACTCACTTCAGCTCGTCAATAGAGACTCACTTCAGCTCGTCTATAAAGAGACTCACTTCAGCTCGTCTATAAAGATTCCCATCATCTCGTCTATAATGACTCCCTTCAGCTCGTCTATAAAGACTCCCTTCAGTTCGTCTATAGAGACTCACTTCAGTTCGTCTATAAAGACTCCCATCAGCTCGTCCATAGAGACTCACTTCAGCTCGTCTATAGAGACTCACTTCAGCTCTTCTATAGAGACTCCCGTCTGCTCTTCTATAGAGACTCCCGTCTGCTCGTCTATAAAGACTCCCGTCTGCTCGTCTATAAAGACTCCCGTCTGCTCGTCTATAAAGACTCCCGTCTTCTCGTCTATTAAAACTCCATTCAGCTCGTCTATAAAGACTCCCATCTGCTCGTCTATGAAGACTCCCATCTGCTCGTCTATGAAGACTCCCATCTGCTCGTCTGTAAATACTCCCATCTGTTCGTCTATAAAGATTCCCATCATCTCGTCTATGAAGACTCCCATCTGCTCGTCTATGAAGACTCCCATTTGCTCGTCTGTAAATACTCCCATCTGTTCGTCTATAAAGATTCCCATCATCTCGTCTATGAAGACTCCCATCTGCTCGTCTATGAAGACTCCCATCTGCTCGTCTATGAAGACTCCCATTTGCTCGTCTATGAAGACTCCCATCTGCTCGTCTGTAAAAACTCCCATCTGTTCGTCTATAAAGATTCCCATCATCTCGTCTATAATGACTCCCTTCAGCTCGTCTATAGAGACTCACTTCAGTTCGTCTATAAAGACTCCCATCAGCTCGTCTATAGAGACTCACTTCAGCTCGGCTATAAAAACTTCCTTCAGCTCGTCTATAGAGACTCCCGTCAGTTCATCTATAGAGACTTCCTTTGTCTATATAAACATTCTGTAGCTCAATTTTCTTATATAAAACAATTCCAAAGATCCAATCACAGCGTTTTGTCTACAGAAAAAATCCTTTGGGGATTGCTTAGGATCATATTTTTCTATAGAAATACTAATAGAATATTTGTTTATATACCTTTGAAATTATTTTTTCATGATTTTTACAATATCCATTTAAATACCCTCTTCTCCCCTTTCATTTTACAGATAATTGCTGGAAAAATTCATTTCAAAACAACACTACAATAATGGCGACCACATTAGGTCCCCCCAGTAATCACAACAAAATTCACACACACACCGCCAATAAAATCTGGACCATCATCACTGCAACAATCGTCACCAACTCTAATGAATAGCAACAACAGTAACAACAACAAACGTGGTCACATACGTTCCGCCTCATTGGAAAATGCCAATTCGTTGATATCCAAAAATACCCTGGGCCTACCAATGGTTCCATCACACAATTCCGCCACGGGAACACTAAAATCACGTAACGAACAAAAACGCATGCGTAACAAATTCGGCAGTCACAGTAATCTGGATGACTTCGTGCAACAGGGACGCAACAAATTCAACAACATTCGGCAAATGTTTGAACTAACCAAAGGTGGCATGCATAGTAAGACTATGGATGATGCCAACAACAACAACAATAGCAGCAATGAACCCCAGTCAATGCAATCCTTGCCACCAATGATGACAACATCACTAACCTCTATGACATGTTCCCCCACCTCATCCGCCTCAGCATCCACTTCGAATTTAACCTCAGCATCATTAAATCATAATAAATATTCACCAATGATGATGATGACAATGCCAAAACGTTCGGCTGTCACAAGGAAACCTCCCATACCGACACCACCAACCAACGCTGCTAGTCCAGCCGCACAGGCGGGAAAATCGGAAAACGGATGCGGAATTGTTGGTAGTCGTAACAGTATTACGGAAGTTAGTGAACGTTTAAATATTAATGAACAGCAATTGGATGTTGCGACAGCCAACAATAAAATACAACAACAACATCAGCAGCACCAACAGCGACAGATTTTACAAGCTCAACGCACCCAAACCCATACAGCCTTAGTTCATAGTACACAACAACAGCAGCAGCAAGCCCAGCAACAGCATCATGTTCAGGCTCAGCACCTTCATCACCAAACCCAACCGCAGCAGCTCCAACAACCACAACGGAGTGCAAGTGATTTGTCATACATCCAGACCATCGATGAGAATCACGAACAACAGGTTTGTTGGCCTATTCTGTTGTAACTACTCCTACAGTACTTTAAATAGAAATTGAGGTTAGGTTGAGATAGAAAGGCTAAAATATTGTGAAATGCATATATGTAGGTTTTCCACGAAATGAAGGTGAAGCATTTTTATGAACCCCCCTAGCATTAATATTTTTATCAGCCATTCCATCAGGTCGACTATAAAGTCATAAAATCGTCTAGGGACTCGACTCAGTTCTTCTATAGACACTTAGTTCGTCTATAGAGACTTCCATCAGCTTATTTATAGGGACTCCCTCGTCTTTAGAAGCTCGTTCCCGTCCGCTCATCTATGGAGACTCCTTTCAGCTCGTCTGTAAAAAGACTCCCTTCAGCTCGTCTGTAAAGAGACTCCCTTCAGCTCGTCTGTAAAGAGACTCCCTTCAGCTCGTCTGTAAAGAGACTCCCTTCAGCTCGTCTGTAAAGAGACTCCCTTCAGCTCGTCTATAGAGACTCCCTTCAGCTCGTCTATAGAGACTCCCTTCAGCTCGTCTATAGAGACTCCCTTCAGCTCGTCTATAGAGACTTCCTTCAGCTCGCCTATAAAGACTCTCCTCAGAGACCCACTTCCGCTCGTCTATAGAGACTACCTTCAGCTCGTCTATAGAGACTACCTTCAGCTCGTCTATAGAGACTCCCTTCAGCTCATCTATAGAGACTCCCTTCAGCTCGAATATAGACTCTCCTTTAGATCGTCTATTTTCAGCTTCTATATAGGGTCTGCTTTGTGTTCTTTGAAAATCCACGCTTCTTACAGACCCTGGAAAATTATTCTTAAACAATTCCTCGCTTCTTATGGACCCTAAAAAAGGTTTTTTATAGACCCTATAAGAAACTTGGATTCTTATAAAATTCAAGTTCCTTATAGATCCTGAAAAATATCATTCAAAAAATCCACGCTTCTAATAGACCCCGGAAAAAATTCTTTAAAAATCCACGCTTCTTATAGACTCTGGAATATATTCCTTAAAAATCAACGTTTCTTCTAGACCCTGAATAAATATTCCTTAACAAATTCTCGCGTCTTATAGACCCTAAACAGGTTCTTTGAAAAATCCACACTTCTTATAGACCTTGAAAAAATATTATTTAAAAAATCCACTCTTCCTTTGCACCCTGAAAAAAAAATATTTAAAAAATTCACGTTTTTATAGACCCAGAAAAAATATTCCTAAAAACAATATTTTTTAAAAAAGAAAAACCCATCACACATACTCTATTCGAAATCTGAGAAGTGGAATGGTATTTCCGATATACTTCCTTGAAATTGGTTACCCAGGGCTATTACTACAGGGTGTATCCTAAGTCATTAACAGTTAACGTCAAAAACTGCACCACCTATACATCCAGCAACTGGCTTACGTATTTCATAGAGAACACAGCCACAAACCGTATTCAAATTTATATCTTGCCCTAGACACTTGTCTGATAGAATCCGCCCGCTGTCTGTTAGCCTTTGCGTTGGAATATTTCATGGGTGTGTCATTAGAGTTGGGTTGCACTTTACACACAAATGAAACACTTTTGTTTCTCAACTGTCAATAGTCAGCAGATAAAAATGTTTATTAATCACAGCATATGGTGTGGAGCAGTAAAGGGGCCACTTAGGAGGGTGATGGAAATTTGAAAAAATTGAATTTGTCCCGAACTCGTACAATCATATTAACCAGAAATCATTCTTTACATTGTAGATTAGTATTTTTTTTTTAATTTTATCACCCCTTCAAGTAACACCCTTTGCCTTGTGTATATATTTTTTTATATCTATAAATTCTTTTATAATTACCTTCAATATTTTATCAAATATTTTTGGTTTCTCCCCTTCAATTTCTTTTATCATTGATTTGTTTTTAACTTTGTATTATTGTTGTTGTTATTGTTTTTTCTTCTTCTTCTTCTCTTCTCTTTTGTGCCTTTACGTTTAGACTACAAATCTTTTACGCCCGATTGCTTTTAAGCCGATCCCTTTCGAGCCGGACTATACCATTCCCAGTCGTTATTGTGATGTTGTTACGTCGGCTCAGTCAGCAACGGCATCGGTGAATAGTAACAACAACCCCAGTTGTGTCGGTGGTTCGATAAACATGAACAGCAGCAACAGCAACAACAACAACCACGGCAATCACATCACCAATTCAACAACAAATTCTCACCACCATCATCACAATATGATTGTGGGCGATCGTTATGGTTCCACACCATCATTGGCCGCAGTACCCGGTTCTAATATGCGATTTGGAAGTAAGTATTGAAGTGAAATTGTGAATTTTTATAGATTTCTGGTAAATTAAATTTGTTTGGAAATGGAGCATTTAGATATTTTTATGGGTTGTAAAAAGTTTACTTAGAGTATTTAAAAAAAAAAAAAATTTAAAAAAAATATGAACAAAATTTTGATTACAAAATCAAAATTGATTTCATCGAAACTTGTCACAGGTTAGGTTATACTAATTTCAGTATGTTTTGTGCATATCGGCCACATTTTGAGTTCTTGGAGCATCATTTACTTAATATCGGGAGAAAATATATATGGGAGCTCTATCTAAATCTGAACCGAGTTCCACAAAATTTTCGACACTCTAGGTTATATTAACTTCAGTACGTTGTGCACTGTTCATTGTACAAAATACCGTGGCAATTGTGACAAACTTTTGGTCTTTAGTGCACAATTTACATAAAATCTTAAGAAAATATATATAGGAGCTATATCTAAATCTGAACCGATTTTCACGAAACTTGGCACACATCATTCTAGACCTAATTCATTACGCTTTGCAAAATTTCGTGCAAATCGAAAGATATATAGGAACTTTGGTACACCATTTACCTTAAATCGGATGAAGATATATATGGGAGCTATATCTAAATCTGAGCCGATTTTCACGAAACATTACACACATCATTCTAGACCTAATTCATTACGCTGTCCTAAATTTCGTGCAAATCGAAAGATATTAAGGGACTTTGGGGCACCATTTACATTAAATCGGACGAAAATATATATGGGAGCTATATCTAAATCTGAACCGATTTTCACGAAACTTTGCACACATCATTCTAGACCTAATTCATTACGCTTTGCAAAATTTCGTGCAAATCGAAAGATATATAGGAACTTTGGTACACCATTTACCTTAAATCGGATGCAGATATATATGGAGCTATATCTAAATCTGAACCGATTTTCACGAAACTTGGCACACATCATTCTAGACCCAATTCATTACGCTTTGCAAAATTTCGTGCAAATCGAAAGATATATAGGAACTTTGGTACACCATTTACATTAAATCGGATGAAGATATATATGGGAGCTATATCTAAATCTGAACCGATTTTCACGAAACATTACACACATCATTCTAGACCTAATTCATTACGCTATGCCAAATTTCGTGTAAATCGAAAGATATATAGGGACTTTGGTACACAATTAACCTTAAATCGGACGAACATATATATGGGAGCTATATCTAAATCTGAACCGATTTTCAGGAAACTTAACACCCATCATTCTAGACCTAATTCATCACGCTGTGCAAAAATTCGTGCAAATCGAAAGATATATAGGGACTTTGGTACACAATTAACCTTAAATCGGACGAACATATATATGGGAGCTATATCTAAATCTAAACCGATTTTTAGGAAACTTAACACCCTTCATTCTATACATAATTCATTACGCTGTGCCAAAATTTCGTGCAAATCGAAAGATATTAGGGGACTATGGTACACCATTTGCCTTAAATCGGACGAAAATATATATGGGAGCTATATCTAACTCTGGACCGATTTTCAGGAAACTTAACACACATCATTCTACGCCTAATTTATTACGCTGTCGTAAATTTCGTGCAAATCGAAAGATATTAAGGGACTTTGGGGCACCATTTACATTAAATCGGACGAAGATATATATGGGAGCTATATACCTGTACTTTGTTTACAATTTAACATGGACAGACAGACGGACGGACTTGTATAAATCGACTTAAAAAGTGATTCTATGCATATTCTCAAAAGGAACCATGTGTCTATCTCGTTTCCTTTTGCCTGTTACAAACATATGCACAAAGACATAATACCCTGTACCACAGAGTGGTGAAGGATATAAAAATTCAACTCAATTCAAAAACTCTCCTCATAGACCCTGAACAAATGTTCTTAAAACCCCACGCTTTATATAGACCCTGAAAATATATTCCTTAAAAAATCCACGCTTCTTACATGACCTGAAAAAATATTCTTTTAAGAATCCACGCCTTGTATTGATCCCACAAAAATATTCTTTAAAAAATCCACACTTCTTATAGGCCTTAAAAAAATATTCCTTAAAAAAATCCACACCTTGTATTGGTCCCTCAAAATATGTTCTTTAATAAATGCCCACCTTGTGTTGGTCCTTCGAAAAATGTTCTTTAAAAATCTACGCGTCTTATAGACCCTGAAAAATTAATTTAAAAATGTACGCTTCTATAGACAGATTATTTTTCCTTAAGGGAACCCCCCCCATTCTCTATTTTAATTTTTCAAGATTTTCAATGGGCTGCTAAATCAATACCAATGCTTGTTGAGGTTTGTAACTTTGCACATATATATTTGAAGATTTAAAAGAGAAGAAAAATAATTTACAAAAAATTTTTGTTACTGTTTTGTTGTTGTTTTTGGTAATTAAAGAAAAGTCCTTATTTTTGATGGCGGGCATGATAACTCCTCACTGGAACATCGGAATCCGAAAATTCCAACGGTGTTAGAAAGAGTACATGTCATGTCGCTCTAAAATTAAAAAAATGGTGGACCTTTGAAAAAATATTTTTTTGAAAATCGCCGATTTTTTACCAAAAACCAAGTTAAAAAATAAGGAAGATCTTCACCGATTGGCTTTATCCTAGTTCATACGAGAGCTATACACTCCCAGAGAAACGTTGCAAAATTTGGAACCGATTGGAATATTAGTTATCGTGCCCGCCATTCGCAAAAAAATGTTTAGAGAAAAACGCGTTTAAAGTTTGAGAAGCCCTTCAGCCGTCACTTGATGCTGACACAATAAATCGGCTATATCTTCAAGAGTTCTTGAGATTTTCACTTGAAATTTTGTAGGGAAATTCTTTAATCAGTGTAGGTTCGAATTATATCAACAAAAATTTTGACCCCGAGAATGGGGGGGGTCCCCTTAAGTAAACCACGCCTTGTGTTGGTCCCTAAAAATTTCCTTTAAGAAATCTCTCCCCTGAGAACTCATTCCTTAATAACCCCACATGGTTTTTTTGTTGAATAGTGTTCCTTCCAAATAGCAAGCCTTTGTTTTTCGCTTGGAAATCCACTCATTGGGCCATAAGCCAAGCTAATAACCAATGCTGTTTGGCTAATTCGTTTTATTATTTCTTGTGGTTATATTCGGATTAACAATTATTTTATTTGTTTTTAATTTTCCCTCTCTTTTCGGCTCCTTTTGCAGGTACCACCGATCTAAGGCACAGTGGTAATGGTGGCGGCATGACTCTTATGACAGCTGGTGGACTCCATGGTAACTGCAGTGTCGGCGGCAGCGGAGTCATTGTCGGTGGTGGTGGTTATTCAAGCAATAATTATTGCAATAGCCTGATGGCACGTCGTCGCGGTTCCAGATCGTTGAAAATCAACGATAGCATGGAATCTATTCGACATACACCGGACTCGGATATCAACAGTCAAACAGGCACCCTGTAAGTAGTAGTAGCAGATCCCCAAATGCATTCACTGTTGGGTTTAGTTGCAAGGCAGACACGCTCCTAAATGGCAGCAAAAACCTGTCGTCCGGTTATTATTATCTGACACTTCGTGTCTCGTCTCGCCTTGTATCTCTCAGTGTGTTTGTCGATTTCGGGTTTCTATTTTCGAAATTTGGTCAGTCAGTCATTTAGTCATAAATGTTAATTTACTTTTGTTGTTGTAGAAAATCAAATGATAGTGGTGGCAGTGGCCTCAATATGGCCATGACCAGCAACAGCAGTGCCAGCAGCAATACCAACACCATGGCCAGTAGCAGCAGTTGCAGTAGTGCCAGCAGCAGCACCACCAATAAATATCACTCTGATCAATGTGATATGACACCCTCACCTTCGGATTCGGGTATTTCCGATTTGGAGGCCGCGTTAAAGGATCGTGATTCAGAGCTATCGTATCTGCGACAAACCATGGAACACAATGAGAAAGTAATTTTCAAAGTACAAAAGGTTTAAAGATTTACCACCTGAAAATGTTTCAATATTTCGAATAGGCGATATTAATTGGAGTCATTTTTTTGTGTGTTTTTTCACTTTTCATTTAGGATAAGGAGTCGTATTGGGAAAACGAAACAAAACGTTTGAAATTGTATTATGAGGCCCAGCAGCGTGAATATATGTTGAAAATCAAGAAAATGGAACAAATGGTCGCCATGCAACAATTCCAATTCAAGCAGCACAAATTGCGTCACAACGAGCAGACCCAAAAGCTGAGGGAGCAGTTGGCGGAGCTGAAGAGTGAATATGAAATGTTGAAGTGAGTATTGGATAATGTCGAAATTTAAAAAAACAAAGATATTTTGAGGTATATTCTAATTATATATATATAGGAGATTTATGTGTGCGGAACTTTTTTGAGAGCCTAACGGAAGTGCGGAGATTTTATTGAGAATTCAGCAGAATTAAATTTTTAAAGAATAATTTTTGAGGGTCTATAAGAGGCGTGGATTTTTTAAAGAATAATTTTTGAGGGTCTATAAGAGGCGTAGATTTTTTAAAGAATAATTTTTCAGGGTCTATAAGAGGCGTGGATTTTTTAAAGAATAATTTTTGAGGGTCTATAAGAGGCGTGGATTTTTTAAAGAATAATTTTTCAGGGTCTATAAGAGGCGTGGATTTTTTAAAGAATAATTTTTGAGGCTCTATAAGAGGCGTGGATTTTTTAATGAATAATGTTTGAAGCTCTATAAGATGCGAGGATTTTTTAAAGAATCATTTTTGAGGGTCTACGAGAAGCGTGGATTTTTTAAAGAATAATTTTTGAGGGTCTATAAGAGGCGTGGATTTTTAAAGAATAATTTTTGAGGGTCTATAAGAGGCGTGGATTTTTAAAGAATAATTTTTCAGGGTCTATAAGAGGCGTGGATTTTTTAAAGAATAATTTTTGAGGCTCTATAAGAGGCGTGGATTTTTTAAAGAATAATTTTTGAGGCTCTATAAGAGGCGTGGATTTTTTAAAGAATAATGTTTGAAGCTCTATAAGATGCGAGGATTTTTTAAAGAATCATTTTTGAGGGTCTACGAGAATCGTGGATTTTTAAAAGAATAATTTTTGAGGGTCTATAAGAGGCGTGGATTTTTTAAAGAATCATTTTTGAGGGTCTATAAGAGGCGTGGATTTTTTAAAGAATCATTTTTGAGGGTCTATAAGAGGCGTGGATTTTTTAAAGAATCATTTTTGAGGGTCTATAAGAGGCGTGGATTTTTTAAAGAATAATTTTTGAGGGTCTATAAAGGCGTGGAGGCGTGGATTTTTTAAAGAATCATTTTTGAGGGTCTATAAGAGGCGTGGATTTTTTAAAGAATCATTTTTGAGGGTCTATAAGAGGCGTGGATTTTTTAAAGAATCATTTTTGAGGGTCTATAAGAGGCGTGGATTTTTTAAAGAATAATTTTTGAGGGTCTATAAGAGGCATGGATTTTTTAAAGAATAATTTTTGAGGGTCTATAAGAGGCGTGGATTTTTTAAAGAATAATTTTTGAGGGTCTATAAGAGGCATGGATTTTTTAAAGAATAATTTTTGAGGGTCTATAAGAGGCGTGGATTTTTTAAAGAATAATTTTTGAGGGTCTATAAGAGGCGCGGATTTTTTAAAGAATAATTTTTGAGGGTCTATAAGAGGCGTGGATTTTTAAAGAATCATTTTTGAGGGTCTACAAGAAGCGTGGATTTTTTAAAGAATAATTTTTGAGGGTCTACGAGAAGCGTGGATTTTTTAAAGAATAATTTCTGAGGGTCTATAAGATGCGTAGATTTTTTAAAGAATAATTTTTGAGGGTCTACGAGAAGCGTGGATTTTTTAAAGAATAATGTTGAAGCTCTATAAGATGCGAGGATTTTTTAAAGAATCATTTTTGAGGGTCTACGAGAAGCGTGGATTTTTTAAAGAATACTTTTTGAGGGTCTACGAGAAGCGTGGATTTTTTAAAGAATACTTTTTGAGGGTCTACGAGAAGCGTGGAATTTTTAAAGAATACTTTTTGAGGGTCTACGAGAAGCGTGGATTTTTTAAAGAATACTTTTTGAGGGTCTACGAGAAGCGTGGATTTTTTAAAGAATACTTTTTGAGGGTCTACGAGAAGCGTGGATTTTTTAAAGAATACTTTTTGAGGGTCTACGAGAAGCGTGGATTTTTTAAAGAATACTTTTTGAGGGTCTACGAGAAGCGTGGATTTTTTAAAGAATACTTTTTGAGGGTCTACGAGAAGCGTGGATTTTTTAAAGAATACTTTTTGAGGGTCTATAAGAGGCGTGTATTTTTTAAAGAATACTTTTTGAGGGTCTACGAGAAGCGTGGATTTTTTAAAGAATACTTTTTGAGGGTCTACGAGAAGCGTGGAATTTTTAAAGAATACTTTTTGAGGGTCTACGAGAAGCGTGGATTTTTTAAAGAATACTTTTTGAGGGTCTACGAGAAGCGTGGATTTTTTAAAGAATACTTTTTGAGGGTCTACGAGAAGCGTGGATTTTTTAAAGAATACTTTTTGAGGGTCTACGAGAAGCGTGGATTTTTTAAAGAATACTTTTTGAGGGTCTACGAGAAGCGTGGATTTTTTAAAGAATACTTTTTGAGGGTCTACGAGAAGCGTGGATTTTTTAAAGAATACTTTTTGAGGGTCTACGAGAAGCGTGGATTTTTTAAAGAATACTTTTTGAGTCTGGATTTTTTAAATAATAATTGTTGAGGGTCTTAAAGAGTCGCGGGCTGGATTTTTTAAAGAATAATTTCTGAGAGTCTATTTTTAATGAATAATTTTTGAGGACCTGTAGGAAGCGTAGAATTTTTAAAGAATAATTTTTGAGGGTCTATAAGATTTTTATACCCGTCACCACACTGAGGTACAGGGTGTTATGTCTTTGTGCATAGGCTTGTAACAGGCAAAAAGAAACGAGATAGGCACATGGTTCCTTGTGAGAATATGCATAGAATCACTTTCTGAGTCGATTTATGCATGTCCGTCCGTCCGTCCGTCCGTCTGTTGGTGTTAAATTGTAAACAAAGTGCAGGTCGCATTTTTAATCCGATTTGGATGAAATTTGGCACAGCTCATTTGATTGGCCCAAGGACGAACCCTATTGAAATTGGGAAAACTCGGTTCAGATTTAGATATAGCTCCCATATATATTTTCGTCCCATTTAAGTTAAATGGTGAACCAAAAACGCTATATATCTGTCTATTTGCACGAAATTTGGTATAACGTACTGAATTGAGCATAAAATGATGTTTGCTAAGTTTCATGAAAATCGATATATATATATATATATATATAAATAGCTTCGTCCGATTTCATGTAAATGGTGCACCAAAAACTATTTGGCGTAACGCACTGAATCGAGCCTAGAATGATGTCTGCCAAGTTTCGTGAAAATCGGTTCAGTTTTAGATATATCTCCCTATGTAGTCTCGCCCGATTTAAGTTAAAAGGGGCACCAAAGTCCCTATATATCTTTCGATTTACACGAAATTTGGTATAGAGTACTGAATTAGGTCTAGAATGATGTATGCTAATTTTCGTGAAAATCGGTTCAGATTTAGATATAGCTCCCGTATATAATTTCGTCCGATTTAAGGTAAAAGGGGCACCAAAGTCCCTATATATCTTTCGAATTGCACGAAATTTGGCATCGAGTACTGTATTAGGTCCAGAATGATGTGTGCTAAGTTTCGTGAAAATCGGTTCAGATTTAGATATAGCTCCCATACATAGTTTTGTCCGATTTTATATAAATGGTGCACCAAAGTCCCTACATATCTTTCGATTTGCACGAAATTTTGTATAGTGCACTGAATTAAGTCTAGAATGATGTGTGTCAATTTTCGATGAAATCGGGTCAGAGTTAGATATAGCTCCCATATATATTTTCGTCCGATTTAAGGTAAATGGGGATACAAAGTTCCTATACTCAATTAGGTCTAGAATGATGTGTGCTATGTTTCGTGCAAATCGGTTCTGATTTACATATAGCTCCTATATAAACTTTCGTCCGATTTTAAATAAATGGTGCACTAAATACCCAAAGCTAGACCGATTGGCACAACGTACTGAAATTAATATAAATTAATCTCTGGCAAGTTTCCTTGAAATCGGTACAGATTTAGATATAGCATAGCTCCATATATAATTTCGACCTATTCATGTTGATTGGACATCAAATTATCAATGGGTGCCAAATAGCGTGTGTAAAGTTTGCTTTAAGGCGACGTCTGTAGAAGGGTATCATATAGTCGGCCCAGTCCGACTTCACTACTTTCCTTACTGTTTTTTATAAAAACGGCATATAAACAGTTTTTTGTATATCTCTTGCAGGACCAACAACATAAGCATAAAGAATTCCGAAAGAAATCTAAAGGATCGCTCGGCTTACATCGAGGAGCAATATGAAGAAAGTCAAAATACTGTGGCCAGACTCAAGGCCCAGTTGGAGGAGAGTGAATGGAAAGTGTGTGAGAAAAACGGAGAAATAGCTTTACTCAAAACCCAACTCAAAGAGGCAACGGTGAGTCCATCAACGATTTTTCTTTTAAAATCCGTAGTTAATTTCCAAATACCTAAAATTTTTTCAGAACGAATTAACTCTCAAAGAACACGCTATAGTCCATCTGAAACATGAAAATACCAATGCCGAAACACAAATTTACCAAAGTCTACAAGAGAACCAGAAAATCACACAACAACAAATGCAGGAGGTAGAACAAAATGCCCAATCGCAAAAAGAAACCCAGACGGAATTGAAGCAGCTCAATAAAATCATCATTCTCAAGGATCAAGTCATATTGGCATTGACCAATGAATTGGCCAAGTTGCGCAAGGAGCTATCCGATTTGGCAATTTTTCATGAATATGGTGAAGAACCATCGGGTAAATATACACGACTGAAGCAGCAGCTAGACAATCTGACAGATATTTGCAATAAGACCCGCAAACACACCCAGCAACGTATTGAAAATCATAAAAACGAAGAGAAACAAGATCATCAGCCAGAAGCAACGGAAAAAGTTATTGATGACACTAATTTGGAGGTTATCATTAATTGTTTGAAAATCTCTCCGCCTCAGCTGGATGAGGAGAATGGGGAGGAGAAGGGCGATGCGAATTATCATGAACGTGAACTGAATAAACTCAATTGTGAGTTGCGTTTGGCAAAAATGTCTTCGGATATACAGAATTTTGTGTATGGTTCACAGAATCTACCCGACATTGCTTTGAATACCAAACTTTCAACGAAGTTGGCCAATTGTCCGCTCGAAGAGGCCACCTTGGATACTCTCATCGAAGAATCGGCCAGTTATGCTGAAGAAATTGCCAAATTACGAAAACAATTGGATGTGGTGCGTGTCAATTTCGAACAGGAGAAACGTCAGTGGTCAGCCGAAAAGGAAAAGGTACTGCAGTATCAAAAACAGCTGCAAAGCCACTACATTAGTATGTATCAGAAGTTACGGAATCTGGAGAAAACCAATGAGGTTTAGAGGGTGTGGCCACACCCCCTTTGGATTGTCGTAGTAGTTAAATAATCATAACAGCAAAAGAATTTATGGTTTTAAGTTTAATTTGTATCAGATATCAAAATATATTATTATAATTATTATGAAATACCATTGTTAAGTTTATACACCTACATACATACAAACAAACATCCTTATACGTATACTGTATCCTATTCTCTATTTGATTATCCAACAACTCGTCCACAATATTCCTTAAATAAAATATTATTTATAATTTATTCATTTGAGATAGACATACATTCATATAAATATTTATTATTATTACTATTCAAAACCCAAAATATTCCAAATATTTGCCAACAGGGGAGGCCCATTAATGTATAATCTCTAAGAACATGCCACATGATCGAATCATTGGGTATATACATACACACACACACACACAAACATCAAAATAATTCTATCGAGATATATTTGAGTCTTCTTCTTCTAATAAGAATATTATTTATATTTAATTTCTGTATAATTTTCAAATCAAAAAATTAAAAATAAATAATCAAATAAAATTAAATATTGAAAATTCAAATTTTTAAAAATTTTTCAAGAACGACTTAAAAAATGTGTACTTTTTTAGAGATTTTTTGAGTGACTATAAGAAGCGTGGATAATTATGGCATGTTTTTGAAGTGCTTATTTTTTTAAATAATATTTTTGAGTTACCAGAAGAAGCGTAGATTTTTTAAAGAATATTTTTCAATGGACCATTAAACGGCGTCGATTTTTTTAAGAATATTTTTGAAGGACCAACACAAGACGTGGATTTTTAAAGAGTTTTTTTTTGAGCGACCAAAACTAGGCGTGGATTTTTTAAAGAATATTTTTTGAAGGACCAACACAAGACGTGGATTTTTAAAGAGTTTTTTTGAGCGACCAAAACTAGGCGTGGATTTTTAAAGAATATTTTTTGAAGGACCAACACAAGGCTTGGATTTTTTAGCTATTATTTTTTGAAGGGCCAAGAAAAGGCGTGGATTTTTTAAAGAATATTTTTTGAAGGACCAACACAAGGCGTGGATTTTTTTAAGGATATTTTTGAAGGACCAACACAAGACGTGGATTTTTTAAAGAATATTTTTTGAAGGACCAACACAAGGCTTGGATTTTTTAGCTATTATTTTTTGAAGGGCCAACAAAAGGCGTGGATTTTTTAAAGAATATTTTTTGAAGGACCAACACAAGGCGTAGATTTTTTTAAGGATATTTTTGAAGGACCAACACAAGGCGTGGATTTTTTAAAGAATATTTTTTGAAGGACCAACAAAAAGCGTGGATTTTTTTAACTAATATTTTTTGAAGGACCAAAACAAAGCGTGGATTTTTTAACTAATATTTTTTTGAAGGGCCAACAAAGGCATTGATTTTGTAACTAATATTTTTTGAAGGACCAACACAAGGCGTGGATTTTTTAGGGGTTAATTCATAAGAGCCCAACAAAAAACCTGGATTTTTTTAAAGAATATTTTTTAAGGAAACAACACAAGGAGTGGATGTTTTAAAGAATATTTTTCAATGGATCGACGCAAGGTTTTTATTTTTAATGCATAGTTTTTGAGGGACCAAAACAAGTCGTGGATTTTCCAAAGAATTCTTTGAGGGATCAACACAAGGCTTGGATTTTTTTAAGGATATTTTTTGAAGGACCAACACAAGGCGTGGATTTTTTAGGGGATAATTCCTAAGGGCTCAACAAAAAACCTGGATTTTTTTAAAGAATATTTTTTAACAACTTAAGGCGTGGATTTTTTGAAAAATATTTTTTAAGTGAACAACTGAAGGCGTGGATTTTTTTAAAGAATATTTTTTAAGGGAACAACTGAAGGCGTGGATTTTTTTGAAAGAATATTTTTTGAAGTACATGGATTTTTTAACTAATATTTTTTGAAGGACCAACACAAAACGTGGATTTTTTAGGGGTTAAATCCTAGGGGCCCAACAAAAAACATGGATTTTTTTTAAAGAATATTTTTTAAGGGAACAACACAAGGAGTGGATTTTTTTAAAGAATTTTTTTCAATGGATCGACGCAAGGTTTTAATTTTTTAAAACATATTTTTTGAGGGACCAAAACAAGTCGTGGATTTTTCAAAGAATTCTTTTAGGGACCAAAACAAGTCGTGGATTTTTCAAAGAATTCTTTGAGGTACTAGAGAGAGAATGGTTTGTTTATAGAATATTTTTTGAGAGACTGTCGACAATGTTTGTTATAGAATCGGCAAATCTGTATTTTAAAATTTATTATTGCAATTTTACCAATACCTTCATTTTCCGTAACGACCTGACAATGTGGCATTTCGGCCATCTATTGTTGCAGTAAATTGAAATGGCGAAAAGGACAATTTTAATACTCTAGTTTTTGTCCCATAACATTTGAACTACTTAGGCTATTGCAATAAAATTGATGTCATATGAAAGCTAAGAAGACAAATCAGTAGAAAAAAATTTATCAACAGAACTCATCACTTGTTGGAAGGTTCCGTGGTCATTTATATTTAAAATAGGGACATTACTAATATATTCCATAACCATGTGGGTACCCACGGAAGTCCATTCTCCAATAAAATTTGATGACTTTAAATTCATTAAATATTCCTCCCCTTGCGGTGAAATTTTTAAATAGAAGTCGAATTCTGTTATCTAAATACCTAGAACATGTAACTTGATCCGATCTAATCAATTCATACTTTTTCTGAATACTGAAAGAGGCGGCTTGATCCTCGGAAATATCCCTTCCTTCGGCTATTTTCACCAATATTACTATTAGCTCAGACCATTAGGATTCTGCCGCAGATACGGTTATAAAGAATGTCGGTATTCCATACTGTCGGATCATTAGCAAGACTTTTTTCTGCCTCCCAATTTGTATGAAGATTGAATGAACTGGTCTTAAAGAGCTTTAGACGCAGTGGAATTCCGTCGATCAACTTTCTTCCCCAAACAGGTGGAAATGCTGTTTTTAATTTTTTAGAACTCTGACTTTTTGTAGTCTTAATAAACATTGTCAGCACGAGCACATGGTCTATTGTAACGCCTCGATTTTTTTAATATTGCCAATAGTAGCCGAACAGGTTCTTTTTGGTGAACAGGTTCTCTAGATGCTATTGCACTATTTTCCTCATACTCATCGATTTGATCATCATCTGAATTGCGATTCATCCAACTGGATATAAGATTGCGGTCATCATCACGATCAACAATAAATGTCACTTCGTCGTCGTTCCCTACGTCACTTAACCACTCTGACGAAATAATAATTCCATGCTTCCGATACCATTCAATATTTACCAGATATCACGCAGCTTCAAACATTTATCCAGACGTAATGGTTTCCTTCATAAAACTGTGGGAATATGATATCCTTCGCGTTAAATGAATTTGAATAACTTCGGTTTGATCGGCTGATCTCGGAACTACATTGACCGTTGAACTAATTGAAATCGGGACCTTTACAACTGCACCTCTAACAGCACATTGTCGATTATATCCTAAGGAAACTATCGTCGTGAAAAGCATTCTTGGCGCAATTAACCTTTCGTCCAGTTACGTCAAACACGGCGGCTTATCTCGAATGACTGGGAAATTTAACCCTTTGTTTTAAAGGATAGGTTTTGATATTAACAGCTGAAAAAATTTTTTTAAAGTAGAACGGAACATCTTATATAAAATACATTCATATAAGAAAGCCCCGCTTATAAGAACACATTTTCCCAATTTTTGGGAAATTATTATATCCGTGATGTACTTACCGATTTGCCGACTCTATAAGAAGGAAAATAATTTACCGTTCAATATGACACGCTATTTGTGATAATAGAGCAATTTATTAAAAAGTCACAGCCGGTGGAAGACAACTCTGAGAAATCCAATTGAGGTGGACGGTGTCGACTATTTGATGCTCCAAAAAAAATAGTTTAATATTTACTTTTATTTTCTAACCTTTTTGTCAACAAATTTCTTCACATGAATTTAATACTTTTTTTCATTTTTGGACTAAATTTTTCCGCACACAATGTTTTGTTTTGATATTGAATAAACCGCCATCTACCTACGAGTAGGTAAACTACCTTTGGTTTTTGTCATTGATAACATTTTTACCATTCAATCACAATAATAGAAAATATGCGTGCAACCTTAAACCAAATTTTGTGTTCATATTTTACTACAGAAGAAAATTTCGGTTAATGAAAATTTGAATGTTCGCTCATTCTGTCAAGAATATGATACGTCATTCTAGACTCATTTTAATATGATATGCAAAATTTCGTGTAAATCGAACACGTGTAAATCGATGATGTCTACTTCGTTTACATTTAACAAAATTAAGTTAGACCGGGCCGAACTTTTTATATCCTCCACCACGTAGGAGTATTTCAGAATCTCGGGACATTTGTATGGGGACTATGTAATGGCGTTATGTGATTTAAGGTTGCTCATGCTACGAAAAAGTAGTGTTACAAATTAAACCGGTCATTTTTTTAATTTAATTTTTATTCATCATTTTATTGCCACTCCCATTAGAAAATTCGGTTAAATTTTATTAATACCGAAAAAGAAGCGACATTTTTATGTGGGGTTATATCAAAAATTACAAACTACAACCCCATCGGCTGGGAAATGCGGCTAAAGTCTTAAAATTGCCGAAAATGAGATTCTATGGGAGCTATACCAGACCGTGAACTAACATTTATAATTTTTGGTAGGAAGATTTGATAATAGATTTAAGGGACCCCCCCCCCCCCATTCTCGGGGTCAAAAGTTTTTTGACTTAATTCGAATCAACACTAATTCAAGAATGTCCCTACAAAATTTCAAGTGAAAATATCTAGAACTCTTTACGATATAGCCGATTTATTGTGTCAGCATTAAGTGACGGCTAAAGGGCTTCTCAAACTTTAATCGCGTTTTTCTCTTTTGCGAATGGCGGGCACGATAACTCAAAAACTAATACACGTTTCTCTGTGAGTGTATAGCTATCGTATGAACTACGATAAAGCCAATCGGTGAAGATCTTCCTTATTTTTAAACTAGGATTTTGGTCAAAAACGGCGATTTTCCAAAAATATTTTTTCAAAGGTCCGCCATTTTGTTAATTTTAGAGCAAAGTCAATAATCCTAGTTCATACGAGAGCCAGACATGTACTCTTTATAACACCGTTGGAATTTTCGGATTCCGATGTTCCAGTGAGGGGTTATCATGCCCGCATCAAAAATAAGGACTTCTCTTTAATTACAAAAAACAACAACAAAACAATTACAAAATTTTTTTGTAAATTATTTTTCTTCTCTTTTAAATCTTCAAATATATATGTGCAAAGTTACAAACCTTAACAAGCATTGGTATTGATTTACCAGTCCATTGAAAATCTTGAAAAATTAGAATCGAGAAGGGGGGAAGGGTTCCCTTAAATAAAATTTGAGCGAATTCGGTTGACAAACATACCCAAAGCCCTCAAAATACAGAATAATTGATCTATCACTATTTCTAAGCTACCCGGACTCTTGATAGGGAGATTTTTTTCTCAAGGAGAATCCAATATGAACAATTTTGGTAATTTGGTTGAAGCACATGTCCAATATTGAAAATTTTTATTGTGAAGATGTATAACCATACCACGAGCCAAAATAACAAATTACAACCAATTAAGTAGAAACATGCTCCATAAACCTACAAAATATTGGGGATTCCGTTTTATGGGGGCTACCCAGAAACATACGCCGACATACCCCATCTGCAATACCTAGGAGTAATAGATATGCCAGTGAAATTTTTAAAGCTCTAGCCCAAATATTGAGATTTCTATCGTGATTTAAACAGAAAAACCAACGAACACGCATTAATCGGCATAAAATTGTATTCTGATCAAGAATATAGGTATATACTTTATGGGGTCACCGGTAAATATTCCGATATTAATAAATCATAAAAAATAGTCGATATTTTAAATATCTTTGAACATTCACATAATGCTAATTTTATCTTATAAAAAATAATTTTATATATTTATTTTCAGTATGGAATAAAACTTTAGAATTGTCTCGAACTATTTGTGCAAATTTTATAAAAATCGGTTAAGTAGTCGTTGAGTTATTTGCACTTTAATTCAATGATGTTCCGAAAAATACTTACTGTTAGGTGCTGGGCTCCTATTCCTTGAAAATGAAAAATCACACAAAAATTGATTATTTTACAACAGCAATTTTTCTTTCATAATGGCTGCCGTTTTGTAAAGAAAATTAAAGCATGCTTTTAGGCCAAACTTAGTTTGTATGCAGTTCGATTTTAACAGTAAGAATTTTTCCGAATATCGTTAAATGTAGCAAAAACTTAAAGGATTTTTACAAATTTTGCATAAATAGATCGAGGGAATTCTAAAGTTTTATTACATACAAACTATACATATATAAACATATGTCATATAGGAGAAAATTAGCATTATATGAAAGTTCTAAGATATTTGAAATATCGACTTTTTATACCCATCACCACACTGTGGTACAGGGTATCATGTCTTTGTGCATATGTTTGTAACAGGCAAAAGAAAACGAGATAGACACATGTTTCCTTTTTAGAATATGCATAGAATCACTTTTTAAGTCGATTTATGCATGTCCGTCCGTCTGCCTGTCCATGGAATTTGGCATGGAATCTCAATGATAATGCCGAAGCAACTGGATGAACCTGGAGTGGAGTACTTAACTGATGTCCTCAAGCTGTCGTTAGCCACCCACATTGTTCCTGAAGCCTGGAAAATAGGCAGGGTGGTCCCGCTACTTAAGCCAGGCAAGGATGCCAGCAGAGGTGAATCGTACAGGCCGATTTCCCTTCTGTCTCCAGTAGCAAAGACGCTTGAGTCACTACTCCTCCCTTTGATGAGAAGTAGGTTTCCAGTCCCTCAACATCAATATGGATTCCGGAGGATGCACAGCACAACTACATTATTACACGCCATAACCACCATGTAACTTGGGACTTAACCAGAACAGACCGTGTGACAGGACAGTCTTGGTGGTTCTTGACTTATCGAAAGCCTTCGATACTGTCAATCACGCCAAGCTGTTCGAGGACATAGAGAAGACAATCTCCTAGTCCAGTCATATGTGGAATTCAGAAACAAGAAGTCTACACTTCGTAGAGTGAAACAGGGAGTTCCCCGAGGTGGGGTCATATCTCCGGAACTGTTTAACCTCTACATTTCTGAAATTTCACAACCACCGGACGGCATAGAGATCGTAATGTATGCGGATGATTGTACGATCATGGCGTCGGGTCCCATTATCGATGACATCTGTTAAAGGTTAAATGTCTATATAGCTGATTTAGTACAGTTCTTCCATCTGAGGAATATGAAGATATCCGCCGCCAAATACACAGCTACTCTGTTCACCACACGGAAGGCTGAAATGAAGCTCCCTCTGAACATCATGGTCGATGGTGCAATAATTCCGGCCACAAACTACCCCAAAAATTTTTGGTGTAACTTTCGATAGCTTATTTAGGTCGAAAGCCACCGCTATTTGCGATAAGATGAGAAGCAGTAACAGGTTCCTCAAGTCGCTTACCGGCAGCTCTTGGGGTGCTGTTTGAGATACCTTGTTGACCTCCTACAAAGCAATAGGTTGGTCGGCGATAAGTTATGCGGCGCCAGTGTGGTTCGCGAATGTAAGCGATACGTAGTTGAAGATCATTCAAACCTGTCAGAATGCCGCCTTGACAACTGCGACAGGGTGCCTCCTTATGACGTCAGTGGACCATTTACATGAGGAGGCAATGGTCTTACCCGTACATCGCCACAACAGGATGTTGATGATCCATGCCATAATCTTATGGATAGAATTCCCCCACCCAGGCACGTAAGGAGTGACCTACATGATCAAGAGAAAGAGGTCCAACGGTACAAAAGAGAACCCCTAGATAAAGAGGCTTATCGAGCAGGAATGTGGACTTGGAACTCATGATACACTGCATCTCTTTAATTGTCCTGCTAAACCCACTCATCTGATTACAACAGATTACAACCTTCCTGAACCTGGAAACAGAGGAGTCAGAACCAGAATAATTGAAATAAAACTAACATGTAGAAGTTGCTACAACAACAACAGACGGACGGACATTTGTAAATCGATTCGAAATTGTTTGAAATGGATTGGTCCCATATTTCGATGAGGTACATTTTTGCGTAGACTGAGGGTATAAAAATCAGAAGAATGAGCTGTGTAAAATTCCATATCATAGAATTAGGAACGTACGCAGGGATAATACAACTTACAAGGAAATTTTCGTAAAATGTATGTACCATTACATCGGGACAATCTGGTAAGAAAAACTCAATCTATTTTTTTATATTGAATCAGAATTTTTATTTGAATTATTTACATCTTATTTTCTATACGTAAGTATTATTCTAGACCCAAAATTCCAAACTATTTGGGGGAGGGTTCGATCTCTTAAATAACTATATGTGATATTCTCTTAATCGTTTGTCTTACTAATACGAACTTAAAACAAAATAAATTGAAATCAAAATCGTATGCTTCATCTTCTTAATAGCTAAAAAATAATGTAAGTAAATAATTATTTATTGCGGCGCATGGGGGGGATATTTCATCCTATTTAGATTTATTGCACCTCCTCCTTAAATTGCAAATAATTTTCAATAGGGAAAGAAAAAACTCTGGAAAATGGGAGCATCAGGAAGATTTTGGATTAAATTTACATTAGATTTTGAATCTTTTATTAAGATATTATTTCGAACATCATACAATGATTATAAACATAATGGGAGTGTTTTTTTTTTATTAACAAACGAAAATAAATGAACATTGAAACGATATTTTTAAACTAAAAAAATATAACTACATTAAGTAATGAACAGGCTTATAGTAAACATATTTAGGGTTTCGGTTTTAAATAGTTTAAAATTAAAAAAATGAAACAGTAGAGTTAACTTAAAATAATAAAAATTAAATTAAAAAAATAAAAATTATAACAGTAACAACATTAAAAAAATATACGATTTACGAGTTTCTTTGATTTTTGGTTTAGAAAGGGGGACAGTAAGATTTTTTAACATGGGGACATTTTACTTACATTTATATAAAACAGGGGCTACACACAATTAAGCGAATTTTATTCGTCTAAGTGAAAATAAAATGAAACATGAGAAGAAAATCATTTCTTTTGTTTTTGTTCTTTAAGGCCCCTATTGCCACTTGCCAGTATTTTCGCCATGAAAACGAAACAAAAAGTTACCAAAGGCTTCCTTTCTAACACTGCAAGTGATCAGGCTCCTGCTATAATATGTGATGTTTCATGCGATGTGATGTGTTCGTTCCTTTATGAGATATATGATTTTCCTAAGGAAAAACAACAAAAGGCACTACAAGTGTTAATCAATTTTTCTTTTACGCCCGCTTGATGTTTTTTGTATTTGGGGAGCTTTTTTCTAAAAAAAATTTCTACATTTCCACAACACCCAAAAAAGGTGGGGGTTAAGTACAACAACACGACACTAACAATAATTTAATTGGCAGTCGTTTGGAGATGGAGTTGTTTTGTATTGGGAATTAATGGGCTTTTGAAATCCACCTTTCACATAAATTATTGTTGTTCCAACCACAGCATAGCCTTTTTGAAACATTTTGAACTTAAAACCTCATACAATTATTGTTTGTTCCTTTTTTCGATTCCCTTCAGGCAATCTCTTCCACATATGTTGCCGGGAATATACCCACTTGATTGCGCAGGGCACCCAACCACCAGCCATCATCCTGTTTGGCATGAACTTCAATGATATCGCCAGGAATCAATTCCAGTTCATCGTATAATTTTGGTGTATAATTATAAAGGGCCTTACATCTACCTAAGACTACATGTGGTGTTGCTGAAGATTCATTTGTTGTTGTTGTGTTGGCATCATTATACAAATTTTGCTGCTGTTCCTGTTTAATTTCCATGGAATTTTGATAATAATTCTCGGCATTTTGTAGAGATTTTTCAATATTCGCCTTGTGTTCCTTACGTCCTCCCACACCCACTGTTGTCGACGAGGTCAAGTGTCCCTCCTCATCTTCATCCTGGGAACTGAATTCATCAAAATCGGAATCTTGTTGATTGGAACCACCATCTGCCTGACCGCGATCATCACTACAGGCATCATCATATAGATTAGCCGTTGTACCGGACAACGTTTTATTTTTACCATTTACGACACCAGGTTCCGCCGCATTATTGGTCACACAAATGTTCGTCTTATTTGAGAAGGTCTCAATGTTACTTTTGCTGCGATTGAAATTTTTCATAGCAAAACTACCATCGGTGGAACCATTGACACCACCCCCATCTACACAGCTGATATTTGTTGTTGATGTTGTTGTATTACTCTGGGAAATGCTATCGTAATCAGTGTTGGGATCATCACTGCCTGCATTATTGGTGATTTTGTCGTTATTCTTTAGCCACAGTGGAACTTTGAGTATACTCTGCTGAAGGCCAGTGCGATCACGGGTTATCTGAAAAAGGAAGGGATAGAAAAAAGGTTAGAAAATGTCCAATATCGATGCAGAATATTTTATAGAGGGATATGTCAAAATATGGATCAATTGCTCGCTATAGACACCAAATGTATTTATAGACCAATTGGTCAAGTATAGAGACCACAGGTCTTTATAAAGAACAATTAGTCTTTATAAAGACCTGTGGTCTCTATACAGACCAATCTGTCTTTATAAAGACCTGTGGTCTCTATACAGTCTTTATAAAGACCTGTGGTCTCTATACAGACCAATTGGTCTTTATAAAGACCTGTGGTCTCTATACAGACCAATTGGTCTTTATAAAGACCTGTGGTCTCTATACAGACCAATTGGTCTTTATAAAGACCTGTGGTCTCTATACAGACCAATTGGTCTTTATAAAGACCTGTGGTCTCTATACAGACCAATTGGTCTTTATAAAGACCTGTGGTCTCTATACAGACCAATTGGTCTTTATAAAGACCTGTGGTCTCTATACAGACCAATTGGTCTTTATAAAGACCTGTGGTCCCTATACAGACCAATTGGTCTTTATAAAGACCTGTGGTCTCTATACAGACCAATTGGTCTTTATAAAGACCTGTGGTCTCTATACAGACCAATTGGTCTTTATAAAGACCTGTGGTCTCTATACAGACCAATTGGTCTTTATAAAGACCTGTGGTCTCTATACAGACCAATTGGTCTTTATAAAGACCTGTGGTCTCTATACAGACCAATTGGTCTTTATAAAGACCTGTGGTCTCTATACAGACCAATTGGTCTTTATAAAGACCTGTGGTCTCTATACAGACCAATTGGTCTTTATAAAGACCTGTGGTCTCTATACAGACCAATTGGTCTTTATAAAGACCTGTGGTCCCTATACAGACCAATTGGTCTTTATAAAGACCTGTGGTCCCTATACAGACCAATTGGTCTTTATAAAGACCTGTGGTCTCTATACAGACCAATTGGTCTTTATAAAGACCTGTGGTCTCTATACAGACCAATTGGTCTTTATAAAGACCTGTGGTCTCTATACAGACCAATTGGTCTTTATAAAGACCTGTGGTCTCTATACAGACCAATTGGTCTTTATAAAGACCTGTGGTCTCTATACAGACCAATTGGTCTTTATAAAGACCTGTGGTCTCTATACAGACCAATTGGTCTTTATAAAGACCTGTGGTCTCTATACAGACCAATTGGTCTTTATTGGTATTATAAAGACCTGTGGTCTCTATACAGACCAATTGGTCTTTATAAAGACCTGTGGTCTCTATACAGACCAATTGGTCTTTATAAAGACCTGTGGTCTCTATACAGACCAATTGGTCTTTATAAAGACCTGTGGTCTCTATACAGACCAATTGGTCTTTATAAAGACCTGTGGTCTCTATACAGACCAATTGGTCTTTATAAAGACCTGTGGTCTCTATACAGACCAATTGGTCTTTATAAAGACCTGTGGTCTCTATACAGACCAATTGGTCTTTATAAAGACCTGTGGTCTCTATACAGACCAATTGGTCTTTATAAAGACCTGTGGTCTCTATACAGACCAATTGGTCTTTACAAAGACCTGTGGTCTCTATACAGACCTGTGGTCTCTATACAGACCAATTGGTCTTTATAAAGACCTGTGGTCTCTATACAGACCAATTGGTCTTTATAAAGACCTGTGGTCTCTATACAGACCAATTGGTCTTTATAAAGACCTGTGGTCTCTATACAGACCAATTGGTCATTATAAAGACCTGTGGTCTCTATACAGACCAATTGGTCTTTATAAAGACCTGTGGTCTCTATACAGACCAATTGGTCTTTATAAAGACCTGTGGTCTCTATACAGACCAATTGGTCTTTATAAAGACCTGTGGTCTCTATACAGACCAATTGGTCTTTATAAAGACCTGTGGTCTCTATACAGACCAATTGGTCTTTATAAAGACCTGTAAGTCCCTACAGACCAATTGGTCTTTATAAAGACCTGTGGTCTCTATACAGACCAATTGGTCTTTATAAAGACCTGTGATTCTATACAGACCAATTGGTCTTTATAAAGACCTGTGGTCTCTATACAGACCAATTGGTCTTTATAAAGACCTGTGGTCTCTATACAGACCAATTGGTCTTTATAAAGACCTGTGGTCTCTATACAGACCAATTGGTCTTTATAAAGACCTGTGGTATCTATACAGACCAATTGGTCTTTATAAAGACCTGTGGTCTCTATATAAGACCAATTGGTCTTTATAAAGACCTGTGGTCTCTATACAGACCAATTGGTCTTTATAGACAGACCAATTGGTCTTTATAAAGACCTGTGGTCTCTATACAGACCAATTGGTCTTTATAACAGACCTTGGTCTTTATACAGACCAATTGGTCTTTATAAAGACCTGTGGTCTCTATACAGACCAATTGGTCTTTATAAAGACCTGTGGTCTCTATACAGACCAATTGGTCTTTATAAAGACCTGTGGTCTCTATACAGACCAATTGGTCTTTATAAAGACCTGTGGTCTCTATACAGACCAATTGGTCTTTATAAAGACCTGTGGTCTCTATACAGACCAATTGGTCTTTATAAAGACCTGTGATTCATAGCCAAGGTGGTGTGTATCACATTACCAATCGGTCTTTATGGTCTCTATACAGACCAATTGGTCTTTATAAAGACCTGTGGTCTCTATACAGACCAATTGGTCTTTATAAAGACCTGTGGTCTCTATACAGACCAATTGGTCTTTATAAAGACCTGTGGTCTCTATACAGACCAATTGGTCTTTATAAAGACCTGTGGTCTCTCTACAGACCAATTGGTCTTTATAAAGACCTGTGGTCTCTATACAGACCAATTGGTCTTTATAAAGACCTGTGGTCTCTATACAGACCAATTGGTCTTTATAAAGACCTGTGGTCTCTATACAGACCAATTGGTCTTTATAAAGACCTGTGGTCTCTATACAGACCAATTGGTCTTTATAAAGACCAATTGGTCTTTATAAAGACCTGTGGTCTCTATACAGACCAATTGGTCTTTATAAAGACCTGTGGTCTCTATACAGACCAATTGGTCTTTATAAAGACCTGTGGTCTTTATAAAGACCTGTGGTCTCTATACAGACCAATTGGTCTTTATAAAGACCTGTGGTCTCTATACAGACCAATTGGTCTTTATAAAGACCTGTGGTCTCTATACAGACCAATTGGTCTTTATAAAGACCTGTGGTCTCTATACAGACCAATTGGGCTTTATATGGTCTCTATACAGACCAATTGGTCTTTATAAAGACCTGTGGTCTCTATACAGACCAATTGGTCTTTATAAAGACCTGTGGTCTCTATACAGACCAATTGGTCTTTATAAAGACCTGTGGTCTCTATACAGACCAATTGGTCTTTATAAAGACCTGTGGTCTCTATACAGACCAATTGGTCTTTATAAAGACCTGTGGTCTCTATACAGACCAATTGGTCTTTATAAAGACCTGTGGTCTCTATACAGACCTGTGGTCTCTATACAGACCAATTGATCATTATAAAGACCTGTGGTCTCTATACAGACCAATTGGTCATTATAAAGACCTGTGGTCTCTATACAGACCAATTGGTCTTTATAAAGACCAATATAAAAACCGATTCGTCAGTCTAGAAACCACATCTTTATAAGTCCCTTGAAGAGATAATTTATAAAGAGGATTCGCATTCGTTCTCTAATCTAATGCGACATTAAATGATTTGAGAATATTAACCTGTATATGTTGGGCCAATGGATGTGATGATCTGGGTTTATGATCCAATTCCAGCAAAGCTGAATGTAGCTTAAAGCGGGCACCCTCCAAATAAGTAAGCATTGAACGGATCTGGAAAATATAAAAGTAAAACAATAAAAAAGGCTTCATAAAAAACTACCCCACTCTAACTTACATGATACAACTTGTCGGTAATATTTTGATGTTCCTGACTATTCAACGACTGTGAAAGACCTTTCAAGCCATTACGTGAACGACGTTCCCTTTCCAGATCGGTCTTAACCAATTGCAAAAGTTTAATCAAGGCATGTTTACGTCTCTCACGATTCATGGCCAAGGTCGTGTGTTCACAATAGAAATCGGGCAGCAATTGTTCACTTGGTCCCTCGGCATTACGACGAATATTTTTAATTATCTGCATATCCTTCACGACATTACAATTATCCACCTGGGGCTGTAGACGTTGCATTAAACTTTCCATTATGGGATTCATATTGGCCGTCAGGGCAGCATAGTTCGAGACGAAGTTCTTCATATTAATCAAGCGTTGATTTTCAATATTCTGTAGAAGGGAGGAGCCACGCAACACGGCCATTTCCCAATCGACCCGTGCTCGTTCGGCACGAATGCACAGTGTGTAATATTCAACATCGGCTTTTTTGACAGCTTCTTCGGCTTTTTTGCGTTTGCTGTCAAGTTTGGCACAATCCTTTTCGGCCAATTTGATTTCTTTCTCTGCGGCTTGTTTATTGGAGCTCTGATGCAGCAAAGCTATGGAGGGTGATTTCTGTATTCGTACATCCAACATGGCATCTTGTAGTTTTTCATTTTCCCGGGCAGCGGTGTGAGAGGCTTTTTTGCCTTTAGCCTCGCTGGCACGCCATTCGGCCAGGACACGAGCGGCCTTATCGACATTGCTTTCGACCTGTAACCAATAAAAATATTAAAAATGTTGATATGAAATAGCATATCCTTAGTCTTACCGATTTCCTGGTCTTGTGATGTCCTTCAACAATGGATTTCAACGGTTTGACCACCTCTTCAGCCAAGGAGGCCGACAGTTGTCTGTGTATATCACTGCGTGTCTCCATTTCTGTGGCCACACCACGCCAAGCATCTGCTATGGTTCCGGGTAATTCACGACATGCCTTATTCAATTTATTGGCCATTTTCGATAAGGATTTGGAGTATAAAAGTTCCGAATCAATTCTGCGGGAGAAATTGAAATTAGTTATCCTGCGGGAAATTATATGGAAGTTAGGGGCTTACCTTTCCTGTAGTATAACAATAAGTTCTTTGCCAAAATCTCCGCCTTGTTTAACATAACGACGCAATTCTTCGAAGCCATTTTGGCCCTGAAAAAATAAAAACAAATGGAAAAAGAGGTTATAAAAAAATTTCAGGTTAAAAACTTGATACTACAAAAATTAATAGAAAAACTGGCCACATTGTCATAACCTCAAAAATAACTTGCTGGGAGAGGTTTTAAAAAGTAAATAGAATATATTTTGGGAAGAAGTCCACACTATGACATCCAGAGACCTCAAGTGTTTATAAAAACCAATTGGTCTGCATAGAAACACCAGGTCTTTATAAAGGCCGAATGGTCTGTACAGGGACCCCAGGTCATTATAAAGACCAATTGGTCTGTATAGAGATCCACAGGTCTTTTTAAAAATTAATTGGTCTTTATAGAGTCCTCATGTCTTTGTAAAGGCTAATTGGCTTGCACAGAGACTCCATGTATTCATATGACCTGGGTCTTTAGAGACCCCGAGTCTTTAAAAATTCCAATTGGACGGTATAGGAACACCGCATTCTTTTTACCTTCGATTTCTTTTTAGATAATCTATCCACTCTTTAATTCATTGTAGTGTCTCTTACCTCTTGTCCTGCCTTCTTATTATTCGGTGGCGATTGTTCAGCCTCCTGTGAATCATTCAGTTCATTGCTACTATCCGCAGCAATGTTGTCACTACTCAAACACTGACTATCGTATAAATGCATTGACGAGGTCATTTTCGAATCTCGGCCACTTTCATCTAAACTTTTATCCTGCGAAGCTGCTCGACTGGCTGCCTGCCTTAACACGGTGCTACCATTCAACGAGGGAGAATTTCTACATTCAGCATTGCTAAGATTCAACTTCGACGAACCCATCCGTTGTACCAATGGTTGACGCTGAACCACCTCTCGTATTTTATGCCCCTCTTCACCGATCCAATGTTTAACGCCCGACCAACCTTTCTTGATTTTCTGTTTATTGTGTGTGAAATTTATAAGGCGGGCATTTTTATTTTTCAGCAGGGTGATACGCCTCTCACTTGGCTTCAGCTGATCGCGATGCATACAATATTCCAAATCGATGTCTTGATTGAAATCTTCGGATTCATTGATTTGTCGGGTAATTTCATTGAGCTCGTCGATGGAAACGAACAGCGATTGGGGATTCAGAGATTGACAGCTAACCGATTTTAAATCATAATCATCAAAATTCAGTGAACCTTGGCTGCACAAACTATTCTTGGATCCGATGCCATTGGCTGCTGCATTTCGTTGATTTATTGAGGTACTACTGCTGAAGACCACACTACGTCGTTTCGTGCGTCTTTGGTGTATATTTTCGGCACTTTGGAATAGCTTTTTCTGACTCAGAAAACTGCTACGTTTTGGTTCCAAAAAGAAGGGGGTATTTGGTTCACTTTTACTTTTCAAAACCCCACCACCGGCTGCAACCACTGAGGGTGAGGAATTCTCTTTGTCGGCATCGTTGTCTTCCTCCTGCATGGCATCGTCCTCATCTTCGTTCGTTAATTCGTTGTCTGTTGTTGTGGCAGCTAAATCACATTTACTCCGGCCATATAGCTCGGGTAATTTTGGTAAAGCCATATTTTCAATATCCTCATCCATATCGGAGGGAATCACCGCATCATCTTCTTCCATGAGATTCATGGAGGGAGCCTTTTGCAGGTATACCTTAATTTCGGAACGATGTAAATTCTGAGCCGATTGTGAATGGGCCTTCTGGGCTAATATCGATTTGGGTCGTTGATGATTTGCGGTCCTTGTCGTTTCATAATAATTTGACATTTGATTGACCGGTGTCATATCACTATCCGAAGATTTATCCGAACACGGTGAGGCAGATTCCAATTCTTCACGTTTTACAATTTTTTGTGGTGTTTCAAATGCCATTTCATATTCATCCTTATCCTGCTGCTGCTGTTGTTCCTCCGTCTCTCCATCGGTGACCACAACAACCACTGGGGTACTGCTAAGGGCATCAACGAATATTTCTGTTTCACTACCCGACGAAGAATGTACCGCTTTGTTTTGTTCCAATTCCTGCAGAGCCTTGATGTTGGTATTTATGGGTAAATCAATGGTCTTAATTTTGCTACAATTGGTGGTGGCTGCAATACCGCCGCCAATCATCTTCAAACGCTCCTCACTGACATCAAAGCGTTCAGCATCTAGAGTGGTGGAGGATATCAAAACGGGTGCGCCAATTTCTAAACGATGATCTTCGGATAATGATCCGGTCATATCATAACTACCCGATATGACTTTTTGTGGTGAGGTTGTACGTCGGCCAGCCTGGGCACGCCGTGAAATTTTATTGCTGAGCGTCGAGTAACGTTTGCTGATTTTATTGATGAGGCTATTGTTGAGTAAGCCATTGCCGCTACCATTGTTGCTGTTGTTGTTGTTGGCCTCCGGCACATCGGGGGCACTGTTCAATTTGAATTTATGTGATCGTAATCGATTCATTTTGAGGGAGTTTTTTTATTTTTATTTCTATTTTTTGTTATCAGGTTGAGGGTATTTTTCTTTTTGGATTATTTTACAATGTTTTTGACATTTTGCGGATCATAGAGTCGTACACCGCTATTATTTTCTTTTTTCGTTTATATTTCTATAGTCAAAAGGAAACATTTTATTAAATACACTTGTTTTATTTATTTATTATTTTTTTTTTTTTGTAATTATAACAACAACAAAAGCGTAATTCAAAAATTATTTAATGAAATAGTGGTTTCCGTACATAAAATCTGGCAGAACGTTTTAAATATATAAAAGAAAAAAATCGATAAACAAGCGATTCTTGCAGGTTCTGGACCTGAGCCTATGTGTATTTTTGTTCTAAATGATTTATAACGCTATAAACCCATAATAAATTTAAAACATGTTTTCTTAAAAAAAAAGGTAAGTCCGCAAAGCTGCTCTTGTCTTGCCGGTTTTTTATTTGGATGGCGATTCATCAGACTATAGCGAATCATTCGATTCATTGCCACTATCAGAAATATTATCACTATTCGAATTCTGACTTTCATATAAATGCTTAGCCGAGGTCATTTTCGAATCAGGACTATTTTCATATAGACTTTTATCCTGTGAAGCAGATCGGCTGGCTGTTTACCGGCCTAGCACCGAGCTACCATTCAACGAGGAAGAATTTCGAAATTTGTAACCGCGGACTTAGATATTACAATTAGGGAAGAACACATGCGCGATCGAAAATAAGGATTATGAAACTTTAAAAATATAAAGAAAAAATTCTAAGAAAAAATTGCGATATCTGCATAAAGGCTTTCCATTTAAAGAGGCATCTAAAGCTTCTTTCGCATATGGAGACCATCTAGAATTATTCTACACAAGGATATCATCCTAGATACTTCTACAGAAAGACGACCATAATGTTATTTTTATATACAAAAAAAATATTCAGGAGATATTACATAGGAGAGTTTAGTTCATTTTTATTGAACTAGTTCGTTCATACAATTCACTATTTGCTCACCATTCTTCATAGACCACTAACTAATCCACTATTATACATATATTCAATTTCCTCTACCAAATAATGGAGGATATTTTTGATAATTTCTAAATCTCAGAAGAAAATATAGATTAACGTTTAAATACGACTCAATATATGAAGATCCAACCCAGTCTTATAGAAGGTCCTGACCGCAATGTTGCTTTTAAAAGGAAAATTTGCAGAAACATGTTATTATATAAAGAGGAAGAACTATTTTCGAATGTTTGTAAAAAGTTTTAATATAGATGAAGTGAAGCCGAAGCCACCCTGACATTCTAATAACTAATATTGGTATACAAACATACACATGATAATAAACACAACATAGGAATGGCAGGAAATAGCGCCACCCAGAGGAAAATATCAACACTAAAAAACTAAAGACACCAAAGGCTGCACAAAATGCAAAGCAGCAATAAAATTGTAGCCCCATTACCTAGGAGAGTTTACAGCAGACCACTAATGTACCTTGTTGGAATAAAAATTAATGAAAAATGAGAAAAAAATTGCAACACTGCACAAAATTCAAGGAGTCGTTGTTGCTAGACGAAGATAGATGGCGGCACCATCACCTTGGACCAGGGTGCGCAAAAATTCGCTCGCGTATGAATTTAAATACATTCTTTTCATTTTGTGCTCATTTTACGAATGGATTTATGGCGATAAATTCTTTGCCAAACAAGCATTCGCCAAAGAATGTTCGCACACACATAACAATCGAGTGAGATCACTCAACAAAGATCGTTCGTTTCGTTTGGTGGTTGAAATTCTTTCTGACATTCTCTCACGAATGAAAACAAACATTCCCGAATTCTCGCGAATGCTCAAAACAGCAACAACAATAATAACAATCGTTCGTGAACTCAATAGTTGTTGGACATGTTATTACACACACTTTCTGCTACACACACATTCATTCGTTGTGTGTGTTTACTTTTTTTGTGATATGTTTGTTTGTGGTTGTTTTTAATAGTGCTCGCGAGCATTCGCGAATATTTGTTTTTTGAGTTTTTCAAAAGAATGTTCTTCAGCAAAGTATGCTCGCGAATGAATGAATCGACGACGCTTGCAGCGAAGTTTTTTTCATTCGTGAATTTTTCATTGCATGAGATTGCATATGTTTGTTCATTCATTATAACTTTAACATTCGTGATAAATTGAACAACATTCGAATTCTCGCCGTGAGCATTCGTGAGAAAGAGTGTATTTTAATCATTCTCCGCACCCTCTGCCTTGAACAGTCTACAGAGAAATAATCACTATCTACTTCGCTGGAATCAAAAACAATTATAAACTAACACCAGGACTAATCCAGTAACATGGTGATTCTTTGTTGAAGTCATATGCTTCCAAGCGGAGTAACACGTACAAAAAAATGGTGCCCATATGAATGTTCTGCATCCAGTTTTGGGTCATTTTTATTATCACTAATAAATCAAATGTGGTATTTAAAAGTGGTATTCGGATCATAATAGTGGCATATTGAGCGACTACAAAAATCGATACATGGCGGCACCATCGCTTAGGGCAGGCTACAGCGAAACAATCAGCATTCACTTCGCTAGAATCAAAAAACAATTACTAACGAAACTAACATCAGAACTAATCCAGTAAAATGGCGATGCTTCCCAGACGAGTGACAGGAGAAAACTAAAATAGTGCGTATATTTAGGTATCTCATCCACTTTTGGTTTGTTTAACTGATCATTTTTTAAATATGCTACCTTTCATGTGTAAAATTTCGCGGTATTCGGATCGGATTAGTGGCTTAAATATGGACTAAAAACTCGATGACTTGTACATTTTTTAATGAATGAGAACCTAAAATACTAATTTACAGTCATGTCGGTTGAAAATCATGCCCTAAAATATCGAAATTTGTGGAGTACCATTTTATGGGGTCTACCCTGAAAAGTGGACCAATATTGATAAATTGTTGCCAGAAAGAGTTGGCACCCAAGGATAATACAAAATATTAAATCACAGCCAGATTGGTTGAAAAACTTTGCCAAACTCCCTAAAATATCTATTTTTAGGAGGAGGTACAGTCATATGGAGGCTACTCTGAAGAGTGGATCAATATTGACCATTTTTGTCGTGAAGATTTCCCAAGTAAAGTGAACCTAAAATATCAAAATTTAGCCAATTTGGAAGCAATTAATTGGGAGTAAACGTTATATAGTGGTGTAGCTGAAAAATAGACCGATATTGGGCATTTTAAGTAAAAAGAACCCCATGAGAATCTAATGTTCAATACCAGACTGAGTCTTATATTCAATTTTGCGCACTCTATCGTGGATTTCAAAGTGACAGACGGACATATATACTTTATGGGAGTGCACATTTGGGTGCCAATGCTGAAGTTGAATGACACGTTTCCACATCATTCATATAATTATAAAATGTAATTGATTGGGCGCCATTTTTTTGCTTTAAATCAATCTGAAGTTTTTTTAAAAAAAGGGGCGGAGACTGGATCTTTTTCGTGTTCGTTTTTTTTACAGAAAACTGTTTTTATTTATTACCATTAACAAATAATTCACATTTGGGTGCCATAGATTATTGGAAGAAATAAAATTCTGTTCACTGGGCTAGTAGTAGCAGTATGTGCAATGTTTCAAAGGCAGACGAACATGGCTAAATCGATCAAAAATATATATTTTATATGGTTTCAGGTGAATATATGGAGGATTTGCAAGCGAAGTTACCCTCCGGGCACCAAAATTCTTGTGGAATGCCAGGTTTCCACATCATTCACATTATTATAAAATTTAATTGATTGGGCGCCATTTTTTTAGCTTTGAATTAATCTAGAGTTTTTTTTAAATAATACATTTTTTTATTTGTTACCATTTATGTATCCCAACAAAAAATACACAATTCTGTTCACTGGACTATTAGCAGGACTAGGAGGACTATTAGCAGGACTAGTTAGCAAAGTATGTGCATTATTTCAAAGTTATATATTCAATGTTGCGCACGCTATCGGGATTTCAAGAGGCAGACGAACGTGGCTAAATCGATAAAAATACATATTTTTTATGGGATCTCCGGGGAATATTTGGAGGTTTTCCAAAAGGAGTGACCATTTGGCCGCCAATATCGAAATTAAATGTCACTCTTCCCAAGATTTATAGCAGAATTCATATTTTATTACATTTAATTGGTTGGGCGCCATTTTCCGTTTTAAATCGGTTTGTTTTTTTTAATAAAAAGGGTTTCGTCGTATTCGTTAGAATGTAATTTTACCGAAAAATGTTGTTATTTGTTATCATTTGTGTATATCAAAAAAAAATATTCCACAATTGGGCGCCAAGACGAACATGGCCAATTCAATCAAAAATATATACTTTATGAGATCTCCGGTAAATTTTAGGAAGTTTTTTAAACGGAATGAGCCTTTGAGCGCCAATGCTGAAGTTGAATGACACGTTTCCTCCACATCCATAGCATCATTTAAATTATTATCAAATTTTATTGGTTGGGCGCCATTTTTCGATTTGAACCAATCCTAAAGTTTTTTTTTAATAAAAAGGTCAAGTCGTGTTCGTTAGAAAATAATTTTTGAAAAAAAAATATTTTTATTTGTTGCCATTTATGTATCTCAACAAATAATTCACAATTGGGCGCCATTTAGTCTTTGTAAATAATTTGCCAATTGTGTTCACTGAACAACACTATCATTCTCCATTCTTTTAAGTTCCGCAGACCGTCTACTAACAATCAGGTCATCCTCGCCAAAGCAGTTAATTTTTGCTACAAATTACAGCGAACAACGTTCGGCGAAAATGAGAACACACATGATGATGTGTGTTTATCAGTCATTAGTGTTCTCAACTTTGATGTCTAGTGATTCTGTCCAATAAGTATGTATATGGCCTATTAGCCATAAAAGTTGCGTTAATACTTCTGAATACCTTTCTCTTCCCTTATCTTCTTCTTTCTCTCT